GTGAACAGCTGGAACATGAACAGCAGAGATCCCCACAGAGATCAGGATCACTGCCACAGCTGGGTGAACAGCTGGGGACAGAATCCAGACTGTGCTGGACACATTCTGTGCTGGACCCTAAGCCCCCATGTCTAATTCCTCTCTGGCTGCCCCAGCCTGGCCTGGCTCTCAGCTGGGTGTTTGTGCTCTGCCCCCTCAGGAGCGGGATCTGCTGAAAACCTTCAAGATCTCGTCGGACACGTTCGTGACGTACATGATGACCCTGGAGGATCACTACCACTCAGACGTGGCCTACCACAACAGCCTGCACGCTGCTGACGTGGCCCAGTCCACCCATGTGCTGCTCTCCACCCCTGCCCTGGATGTGAGTGCCCTGCTAGGCTTGGCTTTGAGCTTGGGGTGGGCACTGGGGGCTCCTCCGAGCTCTGGCTTCGCTCCAGGGTTGGGTTAGGAAAGCTCAGAGTGGAATCTCTGCTTCGCCCTCACTTTTCTCCCTGAGGCAGTGCCTTGTGGCAGAAAACCAATTAAAAAAAAGCACAATTTGTTCCCCTCACCCAACTTCCCCAGCTGCTGAGAGGTAAAACCCCTCTGACAGGTTCCTTTTGCTCCATCCTAGGCTGTGTTCACGGATCTGGAAATCCTCGCTGCCATTTTCGCAGCTGCAATCCATGATGTGGATCACCCCGGGGTCTCCAATCAATTCCTGATCAACACAAGTGAGTTTGGTTCTCAATCACTCCGGGTTTCACCCAGAAATGCTTTTTACATATCACAAATGACAGCTTGCAGGCTGTGCTGTCCTCTCAAAACACGGTGCAGTAAAGGAGGGAGGCATTTTGGAATCTTGCAGCAAATAAAATGCAATCCCTGACAAAGGGAATCATTGTAGCACGATTTGTAAAGTCAATATTTGTTACCTGCTAACACATAATAATTCTGCCAGCCCTGAGTGCAGAATTTACCATTAAGATAAAATAAATAATCCTAATTGCTATTGACAACCAGAAAGCCAAATACTGGGCTTTGTGTTGTGTTCTGTGACAGGCTGAGCATGGATCTGAAATCCAAAATACGGAGATTGTTGTGTTTTGGGAAGGGTTTTTGCAGGATTCTGTTGCCAGTGATTTATAACTGAGCATTATTTTGTCACTAGGACTGAGCAAAGGCTGGTTGAGTGCTGGGGCTGCCACTCATGGAGCTAGAAAGAATCCCAGAATCCTAAAACCATCCAGCATCCCATGGGCAGGGACACTTTTCCCCAGACCAGACTGCTCCAAACCCCATCCAGCCTGGCCCTGAACCCTCACAGGGATGGGGAAAGGAAACCTTCCCCTATTAAAACATTTCAGTGGCCAGAACAAACTCCTGCTGGCTGTTGGAAATCCCACATTTCCCACACTGGGTGTTCCTTCCCCAGATTCTGAGCTGGCCCTGATGTACAACGACGAGTCCGTGCTGGAGAATCATCACCTGGCCGTGGGCTTCAAGCTGCTCCAGGAGGAGCACTGTGACATCTTCCAGAACCTGACCAAGAAGCAGCGCCAGACCCTCAGGAAGATGGTGATTGACATGGTATGGCCCCTCCCTCCTCCTCCTCTGAACCAAAATTGATGTTTTATGGGGCTTCCCCTCCTGAAATCCTGGTTTTGGTTTTTTTTTTTCCCCTCTTCTGGAAAGGTGTTGGCCACTGATATGTCCAAGCACATGAGTCTGTTGGCTGATCTGAAGACTATGGTGGAAACCAAGAAGGTGACCAGCTCAGGAGTTCTCCTTCTGGACAACTACACGGACAGAATACAGGTGAGGCAGCCAAATTCCCTGGATTTGGGGTGTTCTGGTCAGGATGAAGAAGCCACACTTCTGTTTTTACCTTGGAACTACTCACATAGAGAAGCTGAATTCTCAGCAATCATTTTTTTTTCTGCACTAAAAAGAAGCACGAGGTGGTCCCATGTTTTTTAGGTGACCAGAACCAGTTTTTTTAAACACTTGGAGCTGCAAACGTGGCACTTTGTGAGGCTCCTAAATTTCCTCTCTGCTTTCTCCCATTTGTTTCTCCTGTTACAACATTACAAGAATTTCATTGGGAAATGAAATCTTCATCTCTAAAGCAACTCAGAGTGAGCTGGAATTGCTGCTGTACACTCTGTTCCCTCAATAATTTAATTCCTTGATTGACAGAATTGACCAGGAAATGCTGGAACGGGGTTGTGCAGTGAGCAGGACAAGATACATCCTGCTCTGCTCTCCACTTTGATGACCAACTCCCTAAGATCAGACTCCTGGGGAAACTCCTGAAATTTTTATTCCAAACACTCTGGTGCTGTCTAAATCCTTGTGGCCACTGATTCAGGCCTGTTTTGTGGAAGGGATATTACTCATTCCATGGAGTGGGAGCTTTTCACCTTTTTCCCTGAGAGCATGGAAGTGGATTTTGAATGGTGGGAAGCAGCTGGATTCCCAAACAAGCCTGTGTGATGTCATGGACACTTCCACAGCTGCACCAGGTTGTGTGAGCCCCAGAGAGCACATCTGGCTTTGGGGCTGGGGCAGCTGAGCTCATCCATGGAGATGGAATCACAGAATTCCACACTGGTTTGGGTTGGGAGTGGCTGTAAATTAATTTCATCCCACTCCAAACACCTCCCATTGTCCCAGGCTGCTCCAAGCCCCAATGTCCAGCCTGGCCTTGGACACTTCCAGGGATCCAGGGGCAGCCACAGCAAATCTGGGAATTCTATTCTATTCTATTCTATTCTATTCTATTCTATTCTATTCTATTCTATTCTATTCTATTCTATTCTATTCTATTCT